ATATATATATATATATATATATATATATATATATATATATATATATATATATATTTAAAACTTCGAATTTTCAACTGTATTTTGAAAGCAATAATACTACTAGTGATTTTACCCCAAAAATCCATAAATGTTGGATTTTGATCCAATCCACTTGGAACAATTATTTTTTTTGAAAAGGAATTGTGGAAATGAACATTCAAAAGATAATAAATATCTCAAAAAAAAAAAAAATAATATTGTCGAAATACAAAAAGAAAAATACAATCAAATAAAATTGGGTCTCTAGCCGGATGCTGAGACCGAGATCGAGGTAGAAATTGTTGGATGAAAGCCTCACATCGGCTAATTTAGAGAATGATCTTGCTTTTATAATCAAATAATACTATCTACAATGATACGAGGCATTTTGAGTAAGTTCAAAACAAAGCTATGAAAGCTTATACTCGGAATAATATCATCCCATTGTAGATAATTTCTTTTAATATAAAATAATTAATTGAAAAAATTTTAATAGTAGAATTATATCTTTTAAAAGGCTGGAGACAAAATCAATAAATATTTATTGTTGGTGGGCTAAATGACATAATTAACCCTATTCTTGAGTAGAAGTGTTGTCATTAATATAAGAAAAGGAATTAATGATATAATAGAGAGTCTACTATCTTATCCTTGAGGTAATTTGGGTATTGATGTATGAGAGTGATATGAAATGCACAAAGACATTGGACATTGGAAGAGGGCACCATTTTCTCAACTAGGGACCATATCAGCTGTACCTTAGTTTTTGCCTTTTTTCTTTTGTCCAAAATATTGCTTGTGATACTTTCAAAATGCTCTTTAAAAGTAATTCGTTTAATCTCGTAATTTAGAGACTCCAATGAAATCTATAAAATGAAGGAGTGATGATCCAACCACACAACTAAGATAAAGAGACTGTCACTTGAGGTCTATAGATTCCATATCCAAATGCAACTTACAATGAAGATAGAAGGATTCTGAGTTAAGCCTCTCGGAGGGAAAATATTTTATAAGGAATACTTCGTTCTCATCTTCAACCAATGTGAGATCTTACCATCCACTCCCTTGGAGGCCAACATCTTCACTCATCCCCCTTGGGGGCTAACGTCTTTGCTGGTACACCATTCGGTGTTTGACACTGATATCATTTGTAACAGCCTAAACCCACTGCTAGCAAACATTATCCTTTTTAGGTTTTTCTTCAAGGGCTTCCGTTCAAGGTTTTTAAAACTCGTTTGTTAGAGAGATGTTTCCACACTCTTATAAGAAATACATAGTTTCCATCTTCAACCGACATGAGATCTCAGATTTCTCGAAAAATCCCTCATAGTTAAAATTAAAATCTAATCTCTTGAAACAAAAGAAACACAAGATAATTCATCGTTTGAAATAATGAAAGAAAAATCTATCACATATCCTATTTCTTTTTACCACTACACCCTCTTGTATCTTACTCCAAATTAACGAAATGGAAAGTTCTTGTTTTCTCGTGAAAGAACGATTTTAAGCTTATAAAATAATAATATTTAGAAATAATCAATTATATTTCTTAAAAACCAATTACAAGAAAATAAAATGATTATTGAGATCTAAAGGAAAGTGCTATATATTTATTTAAACTAAGAAAAATGGTCACATCTCTAATGAATTTTTTTAATTGAAAATTGACTCAATAAATTATTGGAATTGATTGCAATAATTTAATTGGAAAATTGATTGGTGCATCCCTGTCCCCTCCTCCAGAGAGAGACCACCTTACGTATTGCTTACGTAATCATATTGCGTCACCTTTTATAAATATTGACGGTACTAAATTAATTTAATAAATGTGGCTTAAATTAATTGCTCGTACATTAGTGGACTTGGATGTTTGTGAAAATTTGAATATATATATATACGAAATATCCTGTATTGTTATAACGTTTGCATCCTAATGTTTTATATTTTTATGTGATTTATCGTAAAAAAATTGAACTCGATTGATATGAAATTAAGGAAGGTCGGGTTTTATTTCACTAAGTAATTAAAACTCTTAATTGAATTTCAAACCCAAAATCCAACACTAAATAACTAAATATTACCAATTATTATAATAATAATAATATTGTATATTTCTTTATACGCATTATAAAATTGAAATACACTTTATTATTATTTCGATTATATTTACTAATACTGAAATTCTCTAATTTCCACCACTCGTATTGTACGAAACTAGTTAACCAATAACTTCTCGCCAACTGGCAATGCTGCCATCTGGGAGGGCCCCACCTGGGACTTACTCGACTCTGGTTCGGCTTTTATATTAGCTGCGCCTTTTCTTCTCTTAGCCGACCCGTCAGCCAAAGGCACGAGGATATCATGCTCCCGACGTCGAGCCGAGACTCGGAGCGGTGGCGGGTCGTCAGAGCCAATGCGATTGGGGAAGTTAAGAAGAGCCTTGGAGCCGCGCATTCTGAAGGCGGCTTGATCATAAGCTAAAGCAGCATCCTCAGCCGTCTCGTACGTGCCAAGCCACACACGAGCACCACTCTTGGCCGGATCCCGAATCTCGGAAGCGTACTTCCCCCAGGGCCGCCGCCGCACTCCACGGTAACGCTTACTCTTGTCACCCATCTGGGCGGCGGGCGTAGTGGTGGTCGGAAAGGGGTCGAGGTGGAGGGCGGAAGAGGCGTCCGGTGGATGGATGGAATGGAGAGGAGAAAGGACGAAAACGACGGCGTCGTGAAGGGAATTGAAGATGACCATGTCGTGAGAATCGTCGAGTTTGAGGGGCAAATCGCCCCATTGATCGGTCAAAGAAGAGAAGAGATAGGCGTAGGTTAGTGGGGTTTTGTTGTGCACCAAATTTGGGTCGCCAAATGGATCGGGTTTTTGGAGCTCCATTTTTGTGGGGGAAATTCTTCTGGGGATTTTGAAGATGAACTCAAGAACATGGAAAGTGTTGGCCTATGGATAAGTGTTATTTATAAAGGAATTTTGATGGGTTTGGTAATAATATCCCATAACACTCACTCGCTCATAGGTGGGGAAAACAGCAATAATGACAACAATAAGTGGATTTTTAACGTATTTGCATCCTATAGTGGGATTAATATTTTTCGATGCTTAAGTTAGTATGTAACTTAAATTGGGCTCAAGTCCATCATAGTAGGATTTTATACCATGCTTATCTCGGACATAAACTAGTATTGTTTGAACGGGAAATCCTTAGGTTACCCTTATGACAAGAGGGTCTACTCGTTTTTTTTTTTTTGTTTTTTTTTTATACTAATTTTTTAAAATTCTTGTTATAAGCTTAATAAAATATTTATTACTATTTTAATAGGATATTCCACTAAAAAAATTAATTAAAAGAAAAAAAAAAGTGATATGTAGACTATAGTTGGGCCTTGGATTATGATGGGGCTGAGCATATGGACTATTCCAAAGGCCAACATTTCCTTCCCACTAAAAATCTCTTTACAAATTCTGTACATAAATTTTAAGTAACCATTTTTAGGTATAGCACTAAATACATTATTATCTATAGAAATGTAATAGAAATAACACGATATCGAGGTGTTAGGGGTAATCGGACCCGAGTGGCAAATTTGACTTGGGATCAAAGACGAGACGAGCCAACCACCTCATCGGACTTAAAAATGATAGAAACTCGAGTCTGAAATGTAACTTAGGATCCAATAGAACCGGGCCTAAATACTCAATGGCTCAAGTTATTAAACATTACCGTTTTACCCTTCTACTTACTAGAGTTAAAAAAAAAATTATATATATGTTTAAAAAAACTATTTTTTTTTTCTAATATATAGTATTAAATGATCAACAAACTTATTTAAACCACAGCTATATCAGAATAATCCAATTAATTTCCAGACCATTTAAAAGAACAAAATTGCAATTCCAAAGAGAGGATATATTTGGACGTGTCCCCAAACAAGGCACTTGGGTTACATGCAAACCAACCATGAGAACCTTCACGACACGTGCCAAATGCTCTTTAACACGTGCTACTTGGCCACCCTCCAATTCTCTCTATATTACACCTTCTATTTTCTTTCCCTTGTAATAAAAATCACAAAATTTCAATTTTCTTTCCCTCCGATGGCCGAACATCAGACGTACCAGCCGTCCCACCAGCAGCCGGGCACTCAGCCCCGCTACCAGGTTGTGAAGGCCGCCACCGCAGCCACCGCTGGTGGCTCCATGCTCATCCTCTCCGGCCTCATCGTCGCCGGAACCGTCATCGCTCTGACTATTGCGACGCCGCTGCTCGTCATTTTCAGCCCGGTTCTCGTCCCGGCGGTGATCACGGTGTCGCTTCTCATAATGGGCTTCTTGGCCTCCGGTGGGTTCGGGGTGGCTGGCATTACCGTCTTTTCATGGGTTTACAGGTAACTTAATGAATTACTATATTTATTAATATTTCCTTAAATAAGCTAATTATGGTGGTTGCTGTTGCATGAGCTTTAAACCTATACATTTAACTCTTGATTAAAGTAGTTCTTAAACAACATTTAAAGTTATTTAGGCTTAATCTTTAATTAAAATTATTTAGGCTTAATCTTAGAAATTGGTGATTCCCCTTGTTACCCATCATTATAATCCTTATAGGGTACCTTTTTCTCTCAAATCTTTGAACTTACAAACCCTATGGAGTATGTTCCGTTCCGATCCGATCCAGGGCGTGTCGGGGGTCGCGCATCCTCGACTAGGCCTCCTAGGGCAGGACCAAAACCTGAACGTCCTAAAGAAATCAGGAAGGGGGTGTCCCACCTTCTTTAGAGATTGATCATGGGTTAGAAGTAAAAATACTATCTTTATTAGTATGGGTTTAGAAGTAAAAATACTAAATGTTTTTTCAAAAGCAAAAGCAAAATCTGGAGAGTTGATTTGGACAATATCATACAACTATTTGGACAATATCATACAACTTTTTGAGAGCGGAGAGCGGAGAGCGGAGAGCGGAGGGTCAAAGTGGAAAAGATTATATATTATTATAGATAGTCCATGGTTTTGAAAGCTGATGCTCACAATATATCATACTATTGTGGAGAGTCTAATAGGTCATTTAAGAAAATTACCTAGTCTTATGATTCTATATAGTGTTGTATGTGTACTAAATCAAATTCCATCTCCACTAAACTTATTTTAAAACAAAATTGGTTCACTAAACTTATTTTAAAACAAAATTGGTTTAGAGAAGAAGTTAAAAAGTGTGGAAACTTTGGAATTAGGTATGTGACAGGGAAGCACCCACCAGGAGCAGACCAACTAGACCAAGCCCGACACAAGCTGGCAAGTAAAGCTCGAGAGATGAAGGACCGAGCGGAGCAATTCGGACAGCAACACACCACTGGGTCTCAAACTTCCTAAGCCAGCCAGCCAGCCAGCCAGCCATCCTCGTACCAACACCAAATTTAATGTCTTCCTCTTTGTCGGTCGTTGTGCGTTGCCTTTTCGAGTCTCTTCTTTGTTAATGTCGCTATAAAAAGCTTCCAGCTTTCTCAGCTCTTGTAATGGATTATCTATTTTCTTCCGTACTATCGTTTGGTCCTCTTTTTTTTTTTTTTTTTTTTTTTTTTTTTTTTTTTTTTTTTTTTTTTTTTTTTTTTTNTTTTTCTTTTTGTAATGATCGAACCGATGATATGAACTACCGGATTTGAGTTTGGAATAATGTGTGTATTGGTTATCTCCATGTATTTTTACACATTATTGCATGCTTCCTTTTAATAATCGAGCTCAACCATGTTTTTTTTTTTTTTTAAATTAATGAAAAATTATTAACAAAGAGTATGTTGTAATATTTTGGAAGAATAAGGGAAAACTAAAAGAAAGAACCCTTTTCTTAGCTCAGCTATAAAAAACTGTTGCATGCGACCATACGTAGGGATCACGGCATAGAGGGGATCGGGGCATAGAGCTTCAACTTAAGGATCACCAGGCATCTCCTTCCATTCATAGGGAGGTTGTCCACTCGGCTTAACTTCACGATTCTTCTGAAACTTGCGCTCCATCGCTTGTTTCGGTGAAGTTTGACGTCGGCTCGCTCGGAAGGTACAAAAAGGCGGTAGGTGAATCAGTTTCGGAAGGTACAAAAAGGCGGTAGGTGAATCAGTTTTAGGAGCTTCGGTTTAGTCCGGCCGGTTGTCGGGTTCCACCGGGTTGTTGTGGTTGTTCTATAGTTGAGAATTGCACATAATGTCCGTTTGGTTATCAAATGGATCCTTCGGAGAACAAGAGGAGTGACGGAGAAAGAACTTTGACAGTCGAGTCAAATAGCTAGCTAGCAGTTGACCTAATGGACACAATCTGCCCCTACCTCTAGCTCTATAATTCAGCCGTCTTTCCTAGTCTTATCAAGCCCTCCTCTTCGGGGCCTAGCCCTCTCTTTCTCAACTCGAGTCGGAAGAGATGAAGCACCCTAAGTGAGAAAAGAAACATCGACTCCTGAGCTCAACCTAGTTTTGGAATTCAAGTCGAGTCTCCTCTCTTTCTCAACATGAGTCGGAAGAGATGAAGCAGCCTAAGTGAGAAAAGAAATATCGACCCCTGAGCCCAACCTAGTTTTGGAATTCAAGTCGAGTCTCCTTGGATCTCATATCATAAGCACCTTGAGTAAGAAAAGAAAGATCGTCCCCCCTGCACCTAATCTAATTTTGGGGCTCAAGTCGAGTATCCTCGGATCTCACATCAAAAAGAGCTCTCTCATAGTGAAGTAACTCGATGTTGAATAAGTTTATAGTTCATTTATATGTATTCTTATTTAAAAGGAAGAATTTTGGGCATATATTATGTAGTTTTAAAACAATAACTATGGTGGGTATGTGTGACGAAAGTGGAGTGAAGTAAACTAGAAGAGAGAGTAAGGGTAGTAGGTGAGGGCACGAAAATGGATGGCAGTTTGTTTGTTTGTTGCATGAAGAAGTGGGGGAAAGGCCACATTTACGAGAGAGTTCATGAATGAGTTAAGGCTCATAGCTTGGATATGCATCCAATAAGCCTAAAACACAATCATATTCCCACAAATATGACCGTTTCATGCATTCAATTTTGCTTTAATTTTTGGCTCTTTTCCAAAAGTCAAATTTTCTTTTCTTTTAGGTTAATTAAGCATCCATCCAAATTTTGATCTTATCGGGATTGAGATATTCGTTTAATAAGCTTAGTTTTTTTTTTTTTGTCGACCCCAGAGTCGTAATGTTTCAAAACATCAAGGTCATAGAGAAAATTTTCTTTTTTTAACTTAATCTCATTCAAGATCTTCTTTGTTACAAATAGTGTGAGGTCCGATTGGAGAAGAGAACAGGTGCCACCGAGGATACTAGGTCTCAAAAGGGGTGGATTGTGAGATCCCACATTGATTGAAGAGGGGAACGGAATATTCTTTCTAAGGGTATAGAAATCTCTCCCTAGTAGAAATGTTTTACTTACCCTCAAGGAAAAACCCTGAAGAGGACCATATCTCCTAACATGGGTTTGGCGTGTTACAAATAGGGTACACTCTCTTTACTTTTAAACTCTTGTTATTCTTAATTTCATTCACAAAACTTGGCCTTTTGACCGACCATCCCTTTTTTATGCACCAGTTTACCCTAAAAGGAAAATTAGCTTCGCTCCTCTAGATTCACAATGCTCCAATGGTTTTTGAGATGGAAAGAGCTATAACCAAAGATGATTGAGAGTAAAAGTACACAAATTAACTAATGTTTTTTTAGAATAATAATGTAATAATGTTAGAAAATAATGGGTAAGTTATAAATTAATCCTTCTAATCTTGAACCTACCTATAATGTGAGTTTATCTTTCAAGTTTTAGTAATGTTTTTAATTTTAGCCCATATTCACACATATATCCCACACTTTAGGTTATATTTTCATTTAGTCCCAAATATTAATGGACCCATACCATTTGAGGATAAATATCTTTTATTTTAAATAATTATCCAAACTAATACAAATATTAATTTATCAAATTAACAACCCATTTCATTTGATTTTGTAATTTATATTTAAAAATATATATATATATATATATATATATATTTTCGTTAAGTGTATGATATTTTTTTATTTCCCACCTCTATCCCTTAATGTACCTAAAAATATTATTTTAAAACATCAAATATAACCAAATATTCATATTTATAATACATAATTTTCATCATACAAATTCCTGAGAGAAGTCCCAAAAATAAAAATTAATCAACAAGTAATTCAAATATATTTTTGGGCATCAAAGAAATTTTTACAATTTTTTTTTTTTTTTTTTTTTTTTTTTTTTTTTTTTTTTTTTTTTTTTTTTT